GTCAAGAAAACCCTATGGGACAGTTCTACTCTGTTACACTGGGTCTGTATGAGTAGGGATTGACCAGACGGCATCTAACAATAAATGGGGTGATAACTGATACCTTTATGTCCTAGGGTGTTGGAGGGTAAAATGAGATGACCACTGTGAATGTGCCAGCACAGGGCCCCATGCCTGCAGGAACCTGATACTTGAAGGGAGCAGGACTTTCTTCTCCCTTTCCTGGAGCGATAAATCTATTCTCACCCTTTGTACAGGCCCAGCAACAAACACTCCCATACAAATTGATTTGTTCTACTTAAAATAAGTGAATGAATGAATGTATGAGATTCTACAAGATCTGTTTGTAACAAGCCCCAGTGGCTTTTAACCTTCTGGGTCTGAACAGTCCTCCTGTGGCTTAGGAGAAATGCCTCTGGTCACAGTCTCAGTGTGAAAGGAGAACAGCCACCCTCTTTGATTAGTGAACTCCCTTATATAGTTGATGGTTTACTCATGTTCTTCAGCTTTTTCTTTTTCAGAATAAATTCAATTGGTTCTTCATAATTTCCATCAAACTAGAAGCAAATGTATGAACAACCCACAATTACCATTTGTCCCTTGGAATGCTACGCTTTCTCTGACGCTCTATGATGTCTCTGCTCTTCTCTCCCTCTTTCCCACCTCTGTCCCTCTCCTTATTCTCCAGGCCATGCTGGGAGCCACTGCTCGCAGACTGAAATAAGCACTGCCTCTTGAAACCGTTTTTGGGATAGAATATTATTTAAGACTTTTTTTTTTTTTTTTGGTATGTTTAAGAAGAGTTTTTTTGAAAATCCAAACATCAGCGATGGGGATGACAAAATAAACAATACAGAACTATCCAATGCAACTTTCTGCAGTGACGCAAATGTATATCTGTGCTGTCCACTGTGTATCTGTCACTAGCCACAAGAGACTACTGAGTACTTGAAATGTGACCAGTGTGACTGGGGGACTGAATTTATAATTTTATTTCATTTAAATTTCACTAACTACATGTGACTAATGGCTATGTATTGGGACA